CATAACTGCTTAGTGTTTTACAGGCTTGTTCCCCCTTCCTGATTTTCCAGCACCGGCTATGTTTAGGTTTCCAGCACTACAAGGGAATGTTTAAAACTAAAACATACTGTTGCCCCTGAAACAATGCTGGGGTTTGTAACTTTCTTTTTAAACAAATCTGAAATGATTTTGGCACAAATGCATCGCCAGCCTCCTTCTAAACAAGGAGGAGACAGGAATAATATGTGTCCATCTGCGAGAGGCACCACAAAAGCATCTGGAAATGGTGGGGCTTTTTTTGCTGTTGTCACGTTTGGTCTCTGATCCCATCCAGTTTCCAAGCACTCCGAGGGGGTTGATTAAGAGGAGAGGAAGGAAAACACCATGAATTTTAAGTGCTGTGAGCCTGGGTTCACCCAGCAGGGCTCCAAATTGGCAGAGGCAGAGCAGCATCTGCGTGATGCTCAATGAAGGCCACGTGCGCTCGCCCAGCTGCTTTCAAGTCTGCTCCAGAGAAGCCACACTGCCCTGGGGAACAGACTTTAGGGAGGGGGAAAAAAAAAAAAAAACAGATCCAAATTTTCTTTGCCTTCCTCTAGCTTGCCAGCACGCCCCAGGGCCCCTGCCGAGTGGAGGCTGAGAGTGGAAAATGCCTTGCCTGCTCTTACTGCCGCGAGCGTGCGCGGGTGGTCAAGGTGACGCGGCAGCTGAAAGCATGGGCCCTGGCAAGGGACATCCCCCGCCCCAGCAGTGCCTGGCTCTGGTCCCGGCTCCCCTGCTCCTAACCACGGTTGTTGCAAAGGGCAGAGGCACACGCTCCCGCTGCAATCGCTGCCGTTTCCGTGGGCAGGTCGTCCACTTGCTCCCGGGGCCGGGCGAAGTGCACGGCAGGTGAAGCAAGAGCTTCGCAGCTCCAGCCTCTTCCTCTGCCCTCGGACCCGCCGGTGCCCCGAGCAGCTGCGGGATGCAGCCGTAGCGCTGGGGTGCATCTTTGAGGAGATGCACGCAGAGCCATAAGCAGTCTGGCAAACCCGTTTGTGAAAACTTCCCGGCTGGGGCAGCAAACCCTTCAGCGCACTAGCCGGTGGGGTGCCCCAGAGAACTGCTGACCTGCCCAGCAGGCAGGGCTGGCCCCAGGCTCTGTGAAGGAGCAGGATCACTCTTACCCTTTCAGTCTGACATTTAAGCTGCAAGCGACATTTCGGCCCTTCGCAGGGGCAGCAGCGTGTCAGGGCTGCCCTGAGCAGGGTCTGGCCCTTGTAGGTCCCGGCACGCGAGAGAGCCCGCTGCATCAAGGTGCTCGGCGCAGATCGGGTGCCCGATAGCTCTTGGGGAAGGCTCTTGTCCTGCGTCTGTCCTTCCGCGTGCTGCATTTCCCGTCCGGCTCTCGGCTGTGCGTTGGAAGCAGCAGACCTTGATAGCAGCTGCACAGCTTGAAGGAGGGTTTGGTCCTGGGACTTTGCAAGGGGGTGTCAGGGCAGAGGTGTCTCTAGCTAAGCTAGAGTAATGAGAGAAAAAGGGTTTATACGAGGGGGGAGCAAAGAGCTATAGGAGAGAAATGGGGTCAAGCTCGTGACCTTGAGTCCTTATTCATCAAGCTGAGAGCTGGCACCTTCTTGGGGATTTGCTGGACTGCCCTAGGACTGCTACAGTGGTGTAAGATTTGCCAGAGTGGGTGGTTTCCAGCACCTCAGCAAAAAGCTCTCTGCTGTGCTCCTGCAAGGCACTGGTGCCGGCACAGAGCCTGCTCAAACACACTTCCTCTGCATCACGGTGCGCCTGGAGCACAGCGGCAGTGCCAGGGCTGGGCTTCCCCAAGCTTGCAGATGGATAAAAGGGAGGGCGCACACGTTCTGGCTGCAGTAGGAGTCAGTCTGAACACAGTTCACAGTAATTCATGCAGGCTATTTTTTTTGGCAACATAGCATTTCGAATGTCAAGCCTGCAAAATACATTAAAAACCCCATTGCATCTCTCCCCACATTAATGATCTTGCCTTATGCCAGCTAATGAATACATCCCATTCTTCCCCATCCTGGTTCTCCCTTGGGAGGATCAATCTGAAGGCTGGATGCTCTTTACTTTTTGGCTTAAAGTGGGGCAGATCTTGATGGTTTCTTTGGCTTTGATGCATGAGAGTTGAATCATGTGAGAGGGTCACGTCCGGAGACCGAGGCCCCATCACGCGGTGGAGTCAATGTCATGAGCTTGAGTCGAGGGAGGGAGACATGGCTTTTTGGACATGACACTGGATCCCCCACATGCAGGAGGATACCAGCCAGGCAGGGGGATCCGAGTATTGATCAGCTTGTGTTTTCTCTCCCCTCCTCTTCTCCTTTCCTGCAGTGACGTCTCTATGCCAGATCCTCAAGTGCAACTCTGAGTACTGGGCGGCCACGACTGGCTCTCACCTCCTGGGCACGGAGGACGCGCCCGAGTTCTGCACGGCGCTGCGCGCCTATGCGCACTGCACCCGCCGCATGGCCCGCACCTGCAGGGGCGACCTGGCCTACCACTCTGCCGTTCATGGCATAGACGATCTCATGGTGCAGCACAACTGCTCCAAGGATGGCCCCACTTCCCAGCCCCGGCTCCGGACATTGCCCCCCGGGGACAGCCAGGAGCGCTCCGACAGCCCCGAAATCTGCCACTACGAGAAGAGCTTTCACAAACACTCAGCCACCCCGAACTATACCCACTGCGGGCTCTTTGGGGACCCCCACCTCAGGACTTTCACAGACAGCTTCCAGACCTGCAAGGTGCAAGGGGCTTGGCCGCTCATAGACAATAACTACCTGAACGTCCAAGTCACCAACACGCCGGTGCTGCCTGGCTCCGCAGCCACTGCCACAAGCAAGGTGAGGCTCTGTGAGCAGAGGGAGGTGGGGAGGAGGTGCTTTTGAATGGCCCTGCTTTCCACCATCTCTCTCTTCCATGGTTTGCACATCTGCTGGGGGAGGATAAGATGGGGTGGGAGCCTCTCTGAATTCATGAGTTTGACCTTAGGTCTTGGGTGCCTGGCCTGACTCCCTCCTCTTCCTCTGCTCCTAGCTTTGTTTTTCCTTTAAATGACCTGTACTTTCTTCCCGAGGCCCCTTCATGGTTAGTAGGCTGAGATGGTGCAGTTCAGAGGGCAATCATAGCCAAAGGGGTGGAGGGCTCCCACCTGGGGCTCTTTAGATAGCTGTGAACGGACAGACCAGGAATGATGGCAGCAAATTCTGAGGGACAAACCCCAGTCCCGCTTCTCACATCCTGCTTGCTAAAGGAATGAGACTGGTGCTGATGAAGGCCCACAGACCTCTGGCAGCCTCGAAGTCTGGAGCCCGTGACTGCTTGCCATCTCACTCCCTGAGCAGCAGCTGTGGCAGTGAAGTGAGCTGGGGGTCAGGGGGAAAAGTGCTGTCTTGAGCATGGGCCCACAGCAGGGGAGCAAAGCAGGCGAGTGCAACAGGCCAATGCAAGGAATGGCTGGTAGCCTGCTGCAGGTTGCTAGAGGTTTAAAAGAGATGTGGCTGCACCTTGGCTTTGGGGAGAAAACCCTCCACTACCGCAGAAGCAGATAGAGTCATTTCCAGCAGAGGGACAGTGATGGCTATTGGCAGCCTTGGCCCATTACCCGGCATCTCCCACAGGCCCAACACTGCTCTGTAGTACCATTACAGCTGTAACCAGTGCTACACCCCTCAGCTGTGCCATTACGAGCCCAGGCTGCCAGGATTTGATTTCAGGGCATGCACATCAGCCTGAGGCAGTGTGAGAGGCTGGGCTTCCCTGCCAGGCCCCTTCTCTGAGGAGGGGTTTTTTTGCATCGTACCTAGAAACACTGTGAAACAAGGAGCTCCAAAATATCCTGTCAACCATGAGGTCCAAGGACAAATCCAGAGCTGCTCTTTTCAGCTCTAGGTGTGACCTTTTCAGCACAAGGTGGGACTAACATTTTGGTTTTGACCTGTCCTTAATAAACCTTAGAGAATATTCTTAGAGAATACTTAATATAGGTCTCAACTTCTTTTCATCTACCAAATGGCATTAAAATCTGCTGAAGCCTTGCAAAGAAGTCTAGCTGGGGGGCATGGGGGGAAGACACTGAGGATCCCAGGGAACAGGGCTTTTCTAGGTTAGAGCCCAGGATCACCAGGACTCTTACGTGAGTCTCCTTCCCCGTTATCTGCCTCACGGGCTTGTGGTGAGGAGGGATTAGTCATGGGATCTGCAGCAAGAGCTATGTAAAGAATTACTGGGTAATTCTTTGGCTAGAGGGCCATGTGCTGTTGGAAAGGACAGGAGCCTCCTGGTCCGTGGGGCTCTTTGTGGTTTTGCACGACAGTCTCTGATCTACCTTTTCCAGCAAGAGGAAGGGCTGGACCTCAGAGGAGGTAGCAGAAGGATAATTCAAGTGACAGTGCAGCCTTGAAGCCAGGGAAAATTGGTGTCTCGGGAAATGGCTGAGGTGGGGATATGAGGGCTGCTGCAGGGCTGGGAGCATCTGGGACCTTGGGAGAGGAGTGCGTGGGAGACTGACATCTCCACGGCCCTGCACGCAGCTGCTCTGGGCCCCTTGCCAGGGTGCTGGGAGCAGAGGTGGTGGGAGCAACCAGCTCCCATTCAGCCCAGTGCTAGGGGAGTCTCATTTTTTCACTTCATATTCAGCCTTTGGGCTTATCTGCCGCATGGCTGTTGGACTGTGGAGCTTACGGCTTAAGTGTGGATATTGGAGCATCTCCTCTCTGCCCCTGCCTCTCTCACAGAGCTCCAGCTGGTCTCATTCTGCCCCTTCTTGTGGGTCCACACATGGTGGGGGCTCCCTTTGCACTTCTCCCTCAGGGAAAGATTGCAAGAGGAAGAACAAACTTGCTCTTCATTCCAAGCAAACTCTATTCTTCCTCCTCTTCATCAAGCCTTCCCCCAACACAGCCTGCAGGAGCCAAGTAAGCAGGGGAAGAGCAAGCGCAGTGAGGTCCCCCACTCCTGGAAGTGACCCAAGTTTGAGCCCAGGTTGCAGGTGGGGAATTGTCTTGGGCTCAGCCTTTGCTAACATCCCTCCACAGAGGGGCATCCCCACTTGAGCATGAGGAACAAAGTATGTCTGCATGGTTAAGACAGAGCATGGCATCTCCTTAGGTTTGGAGGAGCAGACCCTGTTTGTCTGTGAGCAGGCTGGAAAAGGGAGAAGGCCAGGCCCTTCAGGTCTAAATGCCATGGGAGCCGATGGAGAATCTTCACCACCTCCACTAGAGCCAAGACTCGTCTTCCCCTGCCAGCTGCCAGGCCCTGGAGGCGAGATGGTTGTATGTGCACAGGCATGCCATGTGCACAAGCTTATAATTCATAGTACTCCACACAAGCCCCAGCAACAAGAGAGCCCTTGTGCTGGGTCAGGAGATAAGAACTCACATTCAGACTGTAGGTTCAATCCTGCCTCTGGTTCTTGCCTCCATGCAGCTTGCCTGCATGGTGTCCTTGCTTCTGTGCTGAGGCAGGATGACCTTGTTTGGGTACCTAAAAGTTGGGGCCACCTCTTAGGAGGAACTCCTTGCCATCAGCTGAGGCCCCTGCTCCTAAAAGGTCTGAGCAGATTGATTCTCTGCTCCCATACTCTTGATTGTAACTGTGCTCCTTTCTTTCCTCCTTTGCTCCCCTACAGCTCACCATCATTTTCAAGAGCTTCCAGGAGTGTGTGGACCAGAAAGTGTACCAGGCAGAGATGGACGAGCTGCCTGCTGCCTTTGTTGATGGCTCCAAGAACGGCGGCGACAAACACGGAGCCAACAGCCTGAAGATCACGGAGAAGGTCTCGGGCCAGCACATTGAGATCCAGGCGAAGTACATTGGCACCACCATCGTGGTGAGACAGGTGGGCCGGTACCTCACCTTCGCCGTGCGCATGCCGGAGGAGGTGGTGAATGCCGTGGAGGACAGGGACAATCAGGGCCTCTACCTGTGTCTCCGCGGTTGCCCGCTCAACCAACAGATTGACTTCCAGACCTTCCGCTCAGCTCAGGCCACAGAGGGCCGCACTCGCAGGAAGGGGCCCAGCCTCCCTGCCTCCCCCGAGGCCTTCACGTACGAAACAGCCACAGCCAAGTGCAGGGAAAAGCTGCCCGTAGAGGACCTCTACTTCCAGTCCTGCGTCTTCGATCTCCTCACCACAGGGGACATCAACTTCATGCTGGCTGCTTATTATGCCTTTGAGGATGTGAAGATGCTCCACTCCAACAAAGACAAACTGCACCTCTATGAAAGGACACGGGACCTAGCCCCTGGCAATGCAGCTCCCTCAGGGCGTCCTCAGGCCCTCCCTGCCCTCTGGGCAGCACTACTGTGTTTGAGTCGGTGTTGGTCAGTGTTGTTGTAGAAGTTTACTCCCACACGCCACAGAGAGTGGGGAAAGGGAAGCAGGAAGGGATGAGGGACGTGATGGCAGTGCTGGACAGCAAGTTGTTGAATAGTAGACCCAGCTGGGAGTTAAAGGATCATCTTCAAATCTCAGCCCCTCTCTTCAGTGCTAGCCCTTCCCCTTCCCAGTTCTTGCCTGGGAGGAATGTGCTGCCCCTGGGACCAGTTGGGAGTTTTTGCTGGACCATACCTCACATGGCCCTTCCTCACCTCCCCCTCTCCTCCTCCTCCTTCTCCTCTCAGTAGTATGGATGTCAATGAGCCTTCGCCTCCTCTTAGTGCTCCCTTGTGGTACTGAAAATGCTCGTAGTGACTGTGATGTTGGCGTTTGTGACCGTGGCTTTGTGTTAGGGGAGCTGTGCCCGCGAGGAGGGAGGAGGGAGCTGGGGTTTCCACTCGCCGGGTGCCGTGCTGCGGTTTTCCTGCTGTGCTGTTAAAACGCTCAACCCCTTCCATGGCCCATTTTGCACACTCGGCTCTTGGTATAACCCTGCTTCTTCACAAGCACCGGTGCAAAGTGGCAGGTAGGGGCAGGGACAAGAGGGTGCAGAGAGGAATGGCACGGTGCTTTGCTGGTGCTGGGCTGTGCTGCTCTGGTGGCCAACGGCAGCTTCTAGGCACAGGGGGGACATGTTCCTCAAGTCCTGGCTGGTGTTTGTTGTGGTTCAAAGGACATCTCCTATTTTAGCCTGTTCACTTGGCTGATTCGCTCGGTAGGTTTCCTCCTGGCTCCCTTGCGTCTGTGGCCAGACTCACTGAGGGCTCTTAATTGCAACGGGAGAAACCTGGCCAGTATTCAAGCGGTTTCTTCAACTTTTGCCCCGCACCGGAGGAATTCCTTGTGCCGTTTGCTCCTCGCTCCCCTAAAATGGGCGGCAGGGAGGCTGGTTAGTGGGGAGACCCAATTTGCCCATCTCCCGAGCCCTCCGCCAATGGCGGGGCCTGTGACCCTCCCGAGCGCTCACAAGGGAAACCCGTGAGCCGGCTGAGCCCCCGGAGCGGACTGGAGCTTCGCTCCCTGTTTGTTTGCTGCTAGGTCTCTGCTCCTCTCCTAGTCCTGGGGCCTGACTTGCTACCCCATTTCAGACCAGTTGCACCTTAAGCCCTGCTGGGCTTGAATCTGAAATTGGGCAGTGTTAGAAATCCAGCCAGGAGACGGGATGCAGCAGATGACCCCCCCCCCCCCCCACCCCCCCCCCCA